TCAACATGTGTCCATAAAAGAGTTGAGAGCATAAGTAATTAGTATATTATATATGATCCTGAATACTCAATTTTGTCGAGAGCAATTATTTAGCATAATGACGTGCACTATAGGCCTACGCTACACTACGATTTATCCTCTCGCTCCAAACTTCCCTGGAGGTCTCGCTTTACCGCGCCTGACCATCATCGCGACTAAATCTCAAATAAATGACTTGGTGCACAAAAATAGATATCTGTGAAACACACTCCAGCCTGCTAAATCTTCTTAATCTTTATTCGAGTTTGACTAATCTTTTATAACATTTTGACAACTGCAGCTATTCAAATCTGGTCACATTGTGGAAGGAACATTGCTCGACCTCCCTCATTACTCATTAATCACCCACAACTTTTTAACTCTATTTTTTTTTAACAACCACAAAGTACATTATATATAGCAAGCTATAACGATGTAACGGCAGCATGATTTCGCAGTAATTAATGGAAGACGTTTAGGAAAGGTGTGATGGTTCTTGGTAGTATTGCAATACACAAAAGTTTGATTCAAATGTCTATAACGCATGCTAAAATGTAATAATCATTCCGTAAAGTTATTTTTGTAAAACCAGCACATTTCAGTGTTCTAGCTGTCGTTTTAAGCTGACAGTTAAGCTCAATTTGTAAAATACGGTAGTCCATTACTTCTTCAATTCCTGTCTTTCCATAAATATATATATATATATATATATATATATATATATATATATATATATATATATATATATATATATATATATATATATATATATATATATATATATATATATATATATATATATATATATATATATATATATATATATATATGACGAAAAATGCTAAAATTGCAGCTAGGATTCATATTTATATATTAAAAGATTAAAAGTTTCTTGTCACTAGCTATGTAAAAAACGTAATCACGTTTATAAAAAAGTTTTTACAAGACGTTTCGATCAGAAACCTCCGATCTTCGTCAGTTGATATTAAAAAAAACTAAGAAGCCAATAAACAGGCCTCTATTTATACGGTTCGTTAGCTATTAATTTGGATGCATCAGTGACCCATAAACGTCTGGAATGTCAATATGGTCATTGCCAGAACTTTTGTCCACTTGGGAATACCAAGCCTCAAGGAACAATCGTTTGCGATAATTTTTCTCTCTACTAACTATTTCGGCGTTTTCAAAGTCCATATTATGGTCATATTGCTCAACGTGTTGGGCTATCTTGGAATTCTTATCATTATATTCAACAGCTCTTTTATGTTCTTTTATTCTTTTAATATATAAATATATATATATATATGCTATATATATATATATATATATATATATATATATATACTATATATTAGCAAATTAGAAATAGAAAATAGAATATGATAATAATTTGGTTACCTTGATCAGACATAAATGAACGGTTAATTTGAGCTAAATCATGTTTAAACTTAAAATATGGGCACTTTTTATTTCAGTCTAATATAAAAGTATATAGGTGTAAGAAACATGCATTGTTCGTTGGCAACATCATTCTATTTAATTTATTTTATAAACTTTACAATAAAAAAAACAAACGATTGAAGGTACGACAACAGGACTGTGGATTCCCAAATTAAGTCCTACCTACATACTACATTAACATTGTAAAACAATAGAGACAGCTGGTTACAACTTTAACAAAGCTACAATACAAAATTACAACACACGATCAATGCATTCCAAACCATTCTTATATACAGTACACTTTCCAAAGATAAACATGAACTAGACATGCACCGCCCATTCGGATCACATTTAATAATTCTGTATGAGACAATGAATGCTATCAGTAACAAGAATCAATCTATGCTTCGTTTCAGTTTATAATAGTAAGTCAATTATGTACGCAAAAAGTGTATGAGAGTCTGCATGCCATCATTCAACTAGCTGAGGGAAACTGAATTACACACGTAAAGACGCACAAGTTGTAACAAAATTTACGGGAACCACTGAGTATTTTCATAAAATATAAAACAACGGTAACTCCGAAAATAAACATTTTAATAGTTCTAACTTTCCACTCGGATTAGGTCATCATCAGGAATGATGCTAGGTTACATTACATCGATATATATATAGTGAAGATTAAGTAATTTGATATGTACAGGAAAGATCAGTTAAATATTATAAGTCTTTCGATGTCTCAATTTAGTATAAAATCTGAACAACTTGTTAACTGGATGTGTTCGCACTGCTTGTTCCCAGCTTGTTGATAAGTTGTCAGCGGCTTGTTGACAACTTGCTACAAAGTTGTTGAGTTCAACAGACGTGTTACAAGTTGTTCCAACAACTTGTTATCGTCCTGCAATTCAACAATTTGTCAACAAGATGTAAGTGCATGACAAAGCTTGTAGCAAATAACAAATAACTTGTTAAAATAACAGCATTGTTAGAACTTGTTGAGATTTTTACTGAGATTTTTCGTGAGATTTTTACGTGTGCAGGTTCAACCTCTGGTATGCACGAGTGCAATGGCGGAGCAATGTTGCAGTGAAAAAGTTTCTTTCCGGCTTAATTCAACCCATCGGGTTGCACCCTCGTTCTCAGGTTTTCCCTCTTGTGGAAGAAAAACCATGGTCGGAGCTGGTCGGAGCTGGTCTTGCGTGATAAATGGAACGAGTTAAATTCAATGTTATATTTTGAATTAGGAACACTGTCATAAAAAATTGCTTGTGCGACAACCAGAGTTAATATCGCAAGTCATAGCAGATTCTTTGTTCTGTTATATTGCACTCGACCTTCACCGTCCTTCGAAACCGAGCAATGTTCTAAAATTGTGAAAATCTGATTTGATTGTATATAGTCAAAACGATGATGTTAGCTTACACTTAAACACTTCAATAATGGAATATCATTAAGAAAAGTTGTTATATAATATTTATAATGATGTAAGACAATATTGTGACATTCTCTGACCAATACTTTGTAAAATAAGATGGTTAATCCACTTCTTCCATTTTCTACTCCTTCCTTAAGCGGATAAGCCTGAGTCCATAAAACATTATAATTGCATCTAAGAAGAGTGATTCGCGCTTGGTTCTAGCAAAAAGCACAAGTTTTCTTCTGGTAGCTACTTCGGTTCCCGTTTCTAGTAAAACCACTTAAAAAAATAATCGTAATAGAACAGATACTCTAAATATACAGCTATACTGTAATAATAATACAAGTACTGTTCTTTAAGAATGGCACTTCAATCTTGTTAGATATCGAGATTTAAGTTCTATTTTTCTCGATAGAACTAACAGTTTAATGGTTGTAAAATGCATATAACGTTCCGCTTCATATTTCTATCCAAAAAACACTTCAACTATACAACTTCTAGACCTGCACTGAGAAAAGTCGAAACTAACAGTCAACATGATGTAAAACTGCGAGTTTAGAGGCTGGTTGTATAATTTGTTTAATATGAGAAAATGAGTGGACTAACATACACTTGATCGCCCTCTTTCTGGCGTTTTCCTTTCTTTCCTTCTTTCTCTCGTTTAACTTGAGCCATGCAGGGATTTTTGCCTGCCCGTCGGCACCAGATTTGATTTCAAAATCTTGGTAATAAGATACAAGGCTCCAAGTAAACAAGCAAAAGACAATACGGTATTGTATCAGTGAACCTAACGTTTGTGCAGTCATATTTCGCTTTAATTGACTTTGAGAATGATTACTTAGTACAGGACGGGCTTATAGACGGGGATCCGTGCCTTCCTTTGTTTCGGCCCCTCTAGACTATAGGAGCTAATTTGCCGGGGAGACGGCTAAAATGGGGAAGGTTCAATAAGAGGGAAAACACGCGATATACCTTCTCATTTCCTCTTTGGCGTGAAGTGTTTCAGCGAAAGGAACTGTAGAAAAAAAGGAAATATCCATTTCAACACCTGACTAGGAGTGACAGAAGTATCTCCATCCGATATGCGTCAGAGATTTTAAGGAGATTGGATTAGTTTACAAAGCAGTAATATACATATGTTTCATTTTAATTTGTCGAAACCAGCTGTAGATTTATTTATTGCGATAGTCATTTAGCACTGGTAAATACCAAGGATAACAGAGGTATTGACATATTTCCAATAAAGAATAGTGAAGTTGCACTTATGTGACTCAACTTTGACCTGCTATTTCATTTCTCACAACTATAATCTGGTGTGTAAACTTCTAACTTTTAAACAACTAAAGCACGAAAAAAGTTTGTGCAAGGGTTCATAAAAAAACTACTAAACCAAAATGAAAAATTGCTGTAAATTGTATGCACGAAAAAAAATCGAATCCGTCAGACGAATTAAACTCGTTGTCTTTGTCCTAGTCAGATGTAAATAACGCTTGGGCAGGGCTTTTCGTTTTATGCGGCGGATTTATCGTCGAACAATCTCAACAATGGGAGCTTGTCGTGAAGACAGTCGGTTCGAATTTATTCTGTTGCTTGAAATGAAAATCCCAAATTAAAACTCAACCTAATAATGCCATAACTTCCCGTCGAACGGCCTTCCCTAGAAACGTCGAAAATCTCTTCGCATTTTTCATGGAGTTGCGTCCTTGTCAACCGTAGTTTTACATTTAATAATGATCTGAATTAGTTTGAATTAAATCCGACGTACACAAAACACTCCTACAAGCAGCCTACTTCAAACGAAACAACTGAAGTTCTTGAGGTAGGCTCTATAGTGGCTTTTGCGTATTTGGCCTTTACATTAATCAACACATATTGTAGTTATGTAATTTCATATTTTAAAGTTTTCTTTGTGATCAGGAGTGAAATAAAGATAAGTAAGTCCTCTCATCATATTGGCTTATATGCTGGCGACCACGATGATGAATATTGTAACCATGGCAAAGGGATCTTGAGATATGCACAATGAAACCTGAGAATATAAAAAGGCGCGAGTTTCATCAGTTCGTCACTTCATCTTCAGTCTTCAAGAAAGAAAGAGTTGGAAGATAACTTAAATAACAATATGAAGAATATTGCACTGTTGTGTTTTGTTTTGGTGGCTTCGGCATTTGTGCTTGGTACGTATGATATGAAAAAATTTCCTTCGCTAGTTCTAGCGATTGTAGGGCGTCAATCATTTTGCAATTATTTTTAATAAAACTAATTATGCATGCGCGGGAGAATTTCCATCCCGGGTCCGTTTGTTAGTGCAACTCTCTACCAACTGAGGTATGAGGTCAAGTCGCCAGTTAATATTATTCGACTGACTGATCAATTTCCTAAATCTGTTTCTTGTAAACGAACCGTCGTAATCAAAATACTAAATTTGGACACCAAATTTCAGAAACCCTTAAAGGGACAGACCTTGATTATAATTTATTTCATTCTTTTACAACAAAAGTTGCTCGCGCTGATGAAGAGACACCAGTTGTCGATGCTCCCAAGATGGAGGATCAGCCAGAGACCGCTGACGTGGTGGCGGACGAAGAACGAACGGAGCCTGACACGGAAAACGACGAAGTCGAGACTGAAAGCGACGAAGAAGAGACGGAAGTAGGTTATGCCCAAGAGGATGAAGAGGTCGAAGAAGATGAAGGTAGGCGTCTAATTCTAATATTGAGCACATGGTGGGGGAAAGAATGGTCATTGAGAACAAATCTATTTTTTAGCTATGCGTAGATCTTTACATCGATAACTTGAAATAACATTAGCGATACAACATACATTAATATGGCCGTCATTGTCTATTTTTGGATAGCATATGCACTTTCACACATTTGGCATATCAAGATTTCTGGGAATCTCACTTGTTGTATTACCGAAATGAGTAGAGCGTCTTTTTCGGAAGTTGAAAAGACAGTCAGAAGCCACGACGTGACGGTGAAGGAATGCAGCATGGAACTTGTATGCTATTTTACTTATTAGTCACTTTATTTAGTTTGAGAAATTACCAATGGCTCGTCAGCGCAAAACAAGTTTTCGAGCAAAGGGTGAACCTTTGTTCATGCGAAGAAACTGGGAGTAGAAATGCAAACCAAATAAAGTTACTAATAAGTAAAATAACATACAAGTTCCACGCTGCATTCCTTCACCGTGAAGTCAAAAAACATGAACGTTTCTACTGGCTTTTGACTGTATTTCCAACTCCCGGAAAAGACACTCTACATATTTCGATAATAATTATTGTCGAACAATTGAATAGTTTGAAGATTAGGTCAATCGAGCGACAAGCCTAAAAAAGGTTAACCGCAATAACCATGGGCTCACTTTAACTTAGTACAATATACATGAAATTGCCGTTAAATTGGAGAAGAGTCGACTATGTACTTCGCTTTGTCAGATTACCGCAGCAGAATAGCTGTGTAGCTGGCTCTTTCTGGCAGTGGGCCTATAATCTTGGTTAAGTCTAAAGAAATTAATATAATTTAGCTACTGTACACCCAAAATTTCCTTCCACAACTGCTCCAACATATTATACATGTATATTTAGATATACTTAATTAATTGGATTTTTGTTTCTTTCTATAAGACATCGCGCAAATAGGAGTTAATAGAGCAGAAAAAGATAGACAATATAACTATCTATAGTTTGAATAAGTTCATACTTAGGAATTTACAAACCATTAAAAATATACTCCTTTCTTTAGACGAAACCAGTGATATCGCGGACGACGAGTACGAGAAACGAGGTCAGCCATCTCTCACAGTTATCATTTAATATTTCTAAATTTATATTCTTTGTTGAAATATTTATTGATAGGGATTGTGACCTCAGGTTGAGTTTAACATATGACCCTGGAAAGGCCAGAAATGGATTCGCAAGATCAAATTGCACCTACACGCGTGTGTTAACAAAACAATACCTTTGCATTGAATAAGTCATATTCCATCCAACCACCTGTTCTTCTAACAACCTTGAATATGGTATTTCAAACCCTGCATGTAGTGTTTCTAAATTATTCAGGCTTGGTAAAATCCTACTAGCCTTCTAAAGCTGTATTACATTTACATGATCGTAAACACAGGGCCTGATTTCAATGCGTTCCAAACATTTCATCAAGGCTTGTTTTGCCATCGTCTCAGTTTCTAATCTCGGAACTTATTAATGGCATTTACGTAAGGCTTAATAAAGCTTTATGTTTATCAATTCTCTACAGTGTAGTTTATATTTTCAGGTTGGGTATGCAGACGATACAGGAAAGGTAAACATTGGTGTAAGGCTTGTGGATGTCGACGTGTATGCAAAGCCAAAGTGTGCTCTCGACGTGTCTGCAAACGAGTCAGATGTACTAGGAGAGTATGCCGTATCGTAATCAAATACAGGATCGTTAGATACAAATACCGCAACCCTTATTACAAAGGATATGGAAGTCTCTACTTGTGGAAGACCAAAAAGGTTCCATACAAAGTTCGTGTCTGCAAAAATGTGCGAAGTTTCTGCCCCAAATGTTACAACCAACGTTACAATTGTGGTCGTGTTTGCCGCCACATATGTAAATTCAGAAAGGTATAGGCGTTATTATTAGTAAATACTTAAGACTTTGTTTTTTTCTATATAGCACCATAATCCTACTATGGTTGGATATTTTTATATATGGACTCAGTAGTTCATTGTTTAGAGAAATACAACAAATTAATAAACACTTAAATCTAGCTATCTCCTATTCCACATAGTGGCTTCACCCTAGTATGCATGTGTACGCACTCTAACGTCGTTGGCTCTTTCTATCTGGACTCAGAGAAATGCATCAAATTCTAAGTGT